GAGGACAGGAAGTAAGATAGGAATTTGGGAACCATTGTTTTATATCCTCCGTTACTTTTGCTAAAGTGAGTTTCTTAACTTATTTTTTAAGATCCATTATGCCATGTAAGTTTTAAGAACTCTAGCTAGCACAATTTTACTCTAATGTTAAATTTTTTATTTCGATTCTTAACTTAATTTTATGAGTTCATAATTGATTCTACATCTTTAAATTATTTTTTATTTTAACTTGATTAAAATATTATTGTCTTTGAATTGTTATTTTAAAATAATAAATATAAAAATTTTAAAATATTAAAAAAACTAATGTAAATGTATTTTATTGTTGTGTTAAACTGAAAATGATACTTTTCAATTAAATTAAATGCAAATTTATGATATTTAAAAATGATATTTTTTTTGCTAATTAATTGTGTTAAACTGAAAATAATAATTAAAAAGATCATTTATTACGTCAAACTTACAGTAGATTTAAAAATACAAAAATGTTAAAAACAGTCATTCTTAATTTTTTTTTTTTTTCTTTTGGGTCACTTGTTTCACATTCTCCTTCTCTTTAAACTATTTCTCTTTCCTCTCTCATTCACCTCTGTGCCTAGCTATCTGATTTGTTCTCTGCGAGAAATATACAATTTTTTATTCACTTCATTAGCTAAGAGATAGTGTTTACACATGTGGCAAGCCAGTGAACTCCAATGGTTACTTTTGACAAATGGCTTTGCTTAATATCTACGAACTAAGGTAAGCTCCTGCATTGGAAATACTCTTGAATGTCTTTCCTCGTGGGTTGGATGAAGAAAAACAAAGCTGTTAAAGTTTCATTCAATTATATATTTAAAACTTGAATGTCTTAATAAAAAGGGAAAATTGTTCTGAATTTCTCTAAGTTGTTTTTAAATTAAATGACACACTCTTCTTCTAATTTTTAAGTAAATATTAACTTTTTATTTATTTATCAAAAGTAAATATTAAATTTTTATTTATTTATCAAAGTGATACATACAATCTCTTATATAAGATAACACTATTTGTATATTGCTAAGAGATAACAAATTATTAATGTAAGTGTTAAAAATTAAATAAGATTTGATTTCTTACTTAATTTTAACCCCGAAATTATATTATAAATATCATGTATGTTGTGATTTAAATAAAATAAACCAACTTCAAAAAATAATTTAAAAAAACAAGTTGAGAAACTATTATTTTCAAAATTATAGAATAACAAAAATTTTCATAAAAGAAGACATCATTGTGCGTAATTCATAAACAAATGATATATGTGTATATAATTGATGACAAAATATAAATTGACTTTTATTTTTTTTCTTTTTCTCACTTTAACTAATGACATTATTCTAAGTGATGTGAGTGATTTTAAAAAATATATATATAAGAGAGATGTCATTTAAACAAATCTCAAGAAAAATAAGTGAAAATATATATATATATATATATATATATATATATATATATTCATTTGTTATTTTTTTTAGAGATTGTATATATTATTTGAGTATAGGTTTGTTCAACTAGCATAGCACTAGGCCCCATGAGAGCAGGTAATAGGCTCCCCTTCCCGTCCCATTTCTGTTAAATAAAAATCTTACCAGCACCTATCTCATATTTGTGCAAGCATCTATAAGTGGATATGTGTAGGTATCAATGAATATTTGTGAGTTGTTTTTAAATATATTTTTTTTAAAATATTGAAAATAATTTTAACTTTGTAATTTTATTAAAATAGTAAAGATAAAAAATTGATGTTAATTTCGTTTAAATATTTAAAATAATAAAAGAAAACAAAAAATAAACAATAACTTAAAATACATCAATGTTATAAATCTAAATGAAAGTCTTAATTCATAAAATTAAAATAATAGAGAAAATATGATTAATTAACCAAGGTCGGCCCAACACATCATTGGACATAAAATAAATCTTAAAGTCATACTTTTCAAAATTAATAATAATTTTTTTTAATAAATTTTTTTTAAATACGGGCGTTGAGCAAAATAACCATATTTATATATCTTTTAGAGGTGAGCCTTTTAGGGCCTTATTGAGTTATAAGCCTTGAAAAATTATATAAATATTAATATAAAATAATCTTTTTGAAGGCACTCAAAACAAGAGACCAACCCTAAGATTAAATAATTTAAGATTATTTAATGATATATATATA